GTCTTTATGGATATTTTTGATAAATATTATTAGTAAACAGATAATTTGATGTAGTATTGTGCAAGGATCCTTTCAAGATGCGATGTCTCTGAGCGCGCGAAATTCCGATAAGCTGATTGATAAACTTTAAACCTTTGCAATTCAAATATTATAGTAGCCTTGACATTTTTGTATTAAGATTTTCGTCTCCAAATGACCTCAGGAATCTGCCACTAACGGGTGATACGGTAAGTCTAGGACACTCTGTATATATAAATTTTAAACAATGTAAAGTATGAACACTGCATATAAATTATGCATAATTATTTCCAAGTGCCTGACATTTTGTGATCAAAAAGCTGCATCATAAAAAAGTTCTCTTAACAATTTCTTTTTAAACAATAATTATTTTCAATAATTATTTTTTAGAACAATTTAAAAACAAAAACAAAGTTTATGTCAAAGTAATCCCAATTTATGATAGCAAAAGCATTTTCCGATTCTAATAAAAAAAGCTACATTATAGCTTTAATCGACTTTAATTTTCAGTAATTCAATTTTAATGCCATCTACATAAGCCTTCCTATTTCTCCTAAAAAATACCCGTATTATTCACGTCACTGAGGTATCTTAACTAGCAGGTGGTGCTACCGCGCGCGCAATTGCAGCTACGGAAACTGCAGATATAAGAGTGATAGCGTAACATAGATCGTACGCATGACGATTTCAGTAATGTCGCGCGAATAACCACGCGATGCAGTAGTAAGTAGGCAGCGAGACGCCGTGATTATTCGTCATCGATCGCACATAGAATCGTCCTGACCTCGAGGGACGACCGCGACACGGGCGCAGTCGAGGAAAGCATGTATTGTCCTTAGTGAAACTACCAGTGCAAATATTACAGCGTGTGTGCATGTTTCACTCGTCTCGATCCGGCGTGCAAAGTTCACATTGTCATCAGAACCGTATTTATTTTTGTGAAATCATAAGTGCTTATAAATATTTTATAATTGCATAAATTTAAATGGAAATAAAAACTACAACAAGAAGATGCAAACAATAAGCATTTCTCAAATAATATACGTGTGTTTGATAAAATATTTATTGAGTTACAATTATTATTTTCAATACAATATTGAACCAATAAATAATTCTGTTGTTTTATAATTATTAACATCCATAAATCTATATATAAAACACAATTTTAAATATTTCTCTCTTGCTTTTTTCTTCATTTCAAGAATTGTTAATTATCAATGTCAATTACATTAAAAAAAACAATTTTTTCTTCTTTTACTGTATTGATGTACGGATATATTGATATGGATTTACAATAGTATATGCTTGATTAAAATAAATAAA